ATTTGATCAGAATATAATAACGTTTGATCAGCACATAATAACGTTTGATCAGCACATAATAACGTTTGATCAGCACATAATGACGTTTGATCAGAATACAATAACGTTTGATCAGCACATAATAACGTTTGGTCAGAATATAATAACATTTGATCAGCACATTATGACGTTTGATCAGAATACAATAACATTTGATCAGCACATAATGACGTTTGATCAGAATACAATAACGTTTGATCCAGCACATAATAACGTTTGATCAGAATATAATAACATTTGATCAGCACATAATGACGTTTGATCAGAATATAATAACATTTGATCAGAGTATAATAACGTTTGATCAGAATATAATAAAGTTTTATCAGAATATAAAGGCAAGTGATCAGAATATAATAGTTATAGTGCATCTAAGACAGTTACGGCTTTCCATAATGGGACATTGGCTTCATGCTTGTACATAAAAAACTAGTAAACATTGTCATGCGATTTATGACCAATTTTTAAAGGGCGGCAGTCGTCGTGCCGCGTCCTGTTCGATATGGGACTCATAGCGACGTATACAACGCGTGTAAAATACATTGTTTATTTACATGAAATTCGAGCACGCGCTGCGCGACGACCACAGCGCTTCGTCAAATCAAAGTAAGCTTATACTGTGTGTGCGACTCAAACCAATGCTCGCTTACAGCCTTATAATCCCTTATCTCCACGTCACAGTTCATCTTTCCGTCGGCCTCCTTGGCGTGGACGCACGGGTTTCACGCTCTCTGCACATATCATACTTGATCGAGGGGAAGACTTCCAATAGCGCCGTTCAGTAAACTGTTTGAAGCTGTATAATATCAATACATGTAACATTTTTATTGTTTATTTCTATCCATAATCGAAGCCATGAAAAACAAGTTTTTATCAGGTATTTCTGCCTGGAGAAGATTTCACAACATCATGATAAACGACTTACGAGTTAACCTGCCACGTGACATCTCAGTCACTTATCCAGAAATAATACGTGAGAATATATAT